TCGTAGCTTTTTATTTTCGTCCTCATATCTTTGAGGAGCGGTAGATTTGCGGCAAGTTGCGTAAATCGTATGAAAGGGCTGATTGTGCTCTTTAAAAGTCGATGATTTCGGTGGAAAGCTGTTTACTCGGACCTTGCAGTCTCCAAAGATGGAAATTTTGAAAAGCAAAAAAGAGCAATTTTGGCATTTGCGTATTTTTCCTTATAAAAGGAAGCGCTTTTGCACAGTTTTTTGTGTCAATTATGGAACATGGCGCTCGCACATCAGTATGAAACAAAAAAGATTGGATTGCTACAAAAGATCAGGGGCTGAGCAGGGTGTGCCTAAAAAAGACTTTTTGGGGGACGAGCAGGATGTCCTGCACTGAAAGTTGCTGTACAGATAGGCGATGGTCAACCATACCGTAAGCAGTCTAACTCCGTCTAAACCAGGTCCTACCGCAGAAAAAGTCTAACAGACAGATTTAGTGAGCTTTTCTGCATGACGAAACATGGCGTCGTACGGCAAACATCGTTAAAACTGTCCTGCACGATGTGACTGGAAGGTACTTCAGTATTTAAAATACTCTCCAAATCTCGCTCTATCAGATTATTGTTTGCTCCGCTCTTTGGAAAACCTCATAAACGGTGCCTTTCTCGATTTCAGTAAGTAGTTTGAGCGCTGGTTAGAAGACTTTCTTATGACTCGGCACACTGCCATTTGGAAAATTGACGTTGAGAAGCTAACAAGAATGTGCCAAAAGATTATGCGTTACAACGAAGAATATAATTTGGATTGATTTTTACTGTGAATTGATAATTTTTTTGGTTTATAAAAACGCTACGAACTTATGAACGACCTAATATTTAGATTTTAATTCAGAACTAACCTTGAGGCTACGGAGCAAAAAATCAAGTGAAAGTTATTACAGTAGTAGATTTTGGTGGAATGACGCCTACGTGGCCGATCTCTAGTTGAATGTATAATCCAAGAACTTCTACGATATGCTTACTTGATCGTAGGACTTCAGGAGCTGTTGAGGCTCGAAATTATGCTAAGTCTAGGGTAACGTCGAAACTTGTTTGAAAATGCGACGTAAACGCGGATATTTTCTAAGCATCAAACAAGTTATCTACTGAATAGCTTGATCTAACTCATAGGAATTTACTGAAAAGCTCAAAAGCACCGTCCACCCAGATTTTCGACTTCCATGTTTTTGTCGTTTCAGGACCTTCCCACGTCCCTAATTCCGAATATGAAATCCCAAATTCCAATTCCCGTTCCGGAGAACCCACAGGCCGGCTTTCCAGAACGGTGATTGGATGGGCGTGCACAAATGGGCGGGCATGGATAGAGGTCCTCGTGCATCTTCGCTATTCCAAAGCGATTTTCTCGCTTCCAAGCAACATTTTGCGCCAAGACTTAATAGAGGACCTCACTATTATATGCTACCAAAAGATCACCTTCAACTTAGGGTGGACGGTGCCCTTGATCTATCCTATAGAAGGCCCTATTTCCGGTAGAAGCTAATCAGACTGCGTCAATGAAGCAGACGTTTTTTTCAAATGCGATGACTTCAAAGCATCTTGAGAGTGTAACTTCACAAAACTTTTTTAATCCAAAGCTGTGCAGTGATGAATGGAAAATGAGCCTTGTCTGAAGTGTTTGTATGATTGTGAACTGCTATAAGTTTGTATTCGGCGCCCAAATATTTCTAAGATTGAAGCCAACTTTCGTTCTTGAGCCGCGTATACCTTTTCGGGCAATGCTCTTTCACATACTACCAACGGTTTCTTAAGTTTTTTCGTAAAGGTTTCAAACTTTCAAAGTAAGGAATATTCGGGTAAGTATAAACCGCACTTATCTGATCTAGTGGTTGCAGAGATTTCTAGGCTGGACTGAGATTTTCAGGACACTCAATGTTTTTAGATTTTAGCTTGAAACTTCATGTGGATTACCGCTTACGCGGAAATTTGTTGACAATTTAATACAGCTTGCATTGCTCCATCGCATAGTGTCTTTATGCATCGTTATTCTTATAGCAATGCGTCTGTAAGAGGAACAAGATTTATTACTTTTGTATGAACCTTATAGTATTAGTTGCATAACTTTGATAGTGCTCGAATAGGCTTTAAAAAGTTAAGCTTCAACTCAAAGGATGCTCTGAAGTCATTTTTCTGCTCACCTGAGGACCCAATAAATCCAATTAAACAAACATGATGATGTCCACTGGTCGGAATCTTGCACAATTTGGCAATGTCAAAAATTTTCCTACGCAGTTGTGAGAGATACGACGCGTGTTGTACACCGATGTATTCACACATGCAAAATTGGTCTTCTCAGTACAATCCTTTGATCACGCGCATGACGAAACGTGCGCAAGCAAGTATTTGTTGCGGATGGAGAAGGCATCGCTCTGAAGCAGTATACAAATGCGTGGGTAAAAGATTTATGACCGAAACCAGGCCGAAATCATTGAAAACGAATTGGAGAAGATTATTTTAGCAATACCTTGGATTGATGAATTTAGGCAAAATATATTTTGATTTGTTCGCCTTGATAACCAATCTGTCGCTCCCTGCGATCCTGGATTGAATGGAATGATTGGAAAATAGGCTTTGTATGCAGAACCTTAGAAACATACTCTACTTTTTGGCATGTGTTTGATATTGGAAAGTGGAAAACAACTGTTTAACCGTTTTGATCACTTCAGTCGTTGTCTGAGAATTCATGTAGATTGTAGATGGTCTGAGATTTTATGTAGATTTGTCAATGAAAAAATTGCAAACAGTCGTTCGAGCACACCTTCTACACCATTTAAGCAGTTCGCTACTCGAATCCTTTAATTATTCAAATATTCGAAACACAGTTAGGCAACCAAGTCTAATTAATCGATTATCTGTGAAATCATTTGACACGTACCAAAATTTGAATATTCGCACTCGGTTCGTCTGTTAAATGTTGCTCATGAATTGATTACCATATTCCTTCGCTTGAATGTTTATAGTATGCGATGCTCGTGCTTTAAATAAGTTTTCAGGAGTTCTGGTTACAGGCAGATGTAGATGCAAATTTTACTATGCAGATCTGTGCAGCCCCCACAATGGTCTACCGCCTCATCGTGGCGGGGGGGGGGGGGGGGTGACACTGGGGCCGGTAGTAATCCCCCTGACCTGGCGGCATGTTTCGCCGTCAAGACGCCGACATCTTTACGTGAAGTCGGCGTGAACACCGAGCTCGATTGTGCCCTCCCAACCCTTTTCACCCGCATTTCCGGTCGAGGAGGTCATAGTGACCTTAGGGAACCTTACTTGGCAACTGAAGGCTCTAAAAACCTCCCTAAACAGACTTGTAGAGGAAGGCAGGAGGTGCTGGAGGCAGCTTCGGAGCTGACCTGTCGGCATCTCGTCGAAATTTCAGCGCTGAGAGATGCCCGCAGGTCAGAGAGCACGAAAATAGCGTGCTCTTTTGAGAGATCAATATGCCACCATTCTGACGTGCCCCTACCATGTCGAGGTGGTGGCATCTTGCTGGCGGCGTCAGCAAGTTTGCGTTATGCACAGCTGCGGACGACGCAGCGGAAAATGGCGCTTTCAACCATCATTTGTGGTTCCTGTAAAATTCTGTTTCTTTTCCTTTTTTCTGTAAAGTTGAATTGAGAAAAACTAAAGTTTTTTAGACTCGTCAATTCGCAACTACTCACAATTCGTCAACTACGCGGTACTATAGCTAAACTCGAAGAAGACAAAGCTAGAGAGGTTGAATAAGCGATCTCGGAAGCGGAAAAAGAGCTCAGACACGTTTTCCATACGAGATCACGAAACTACGCGTTCTTATAAGTTGGAAGCTGAGAATGCTGCACTCGAGAAGAAGGTAATATTTTCTGTTTTGATCCATTCGTTTTTGCAAATCAAGAAAACTCAATTTATCGCGGTTTCTTTCCTCAAATGTTGCTAGCAAGCTCCAGACCGGCTTTCCTCCTCCCCCCCCCCTCCCCCTCCTTTCGAGAAAGTCGAGCGGGATTTTCGAAAGTAGCTTTGTAGAAAGTGCGAATGACTTCTTTTTGTTTAAAGAAGAATGACTTGCTCATTTATGAAAAGTTTAATTAGCTTTGTAAAAGATTTGCCGCAATATTACAAAGTCGTGAAATTCTGCGAAAACTTCCAAAGTTTTTTTGGAGAGCGTGGTTAACGACACGCGTCTCCATTCAGAAGATTATCGTTGCGCCCCCTCCCGCCGCCCTCCTACCTCTTCCCGTGGAGAAGGCATCTGTGGTTGCCTACGAAAGCATCGTTGATAGTCCTTTTGACGTGTGTGTGTGTGTGTGTGTGTGTGTGTGTGTGTGTGTGTGTGTGTGTGTGTGTGTGTGTGTGTGTGTGTGTGTGTGTGTGTGTGTGTGTGTGTGTGTGTGTGTGTGTGTGTGTGTGTGTGTGTGTGTGTGTGTGTGTGTGTGTGTGTGTGTGTGTGTGTGTGTGTGTGTGTGTGTGTGTGTGTGTGTGTGTGTGTGTGTGTGTGTGTGTGTGTGTGTGTGTGTGTGTGTGTGTGTGTGTGTGTGTGTGTGTGTGTGTGTGTGTGTGTGTGTGTGTGTGTGTGTGTGTGTGTGTGTGTGTGTGTGTGTGTGTGTGTGTGTGTGTGTGTGTGTGTGTGTGTGTGTGTGTGTGTGTGTGTGTGTGTGTGTGTGTGTGTGTGTGTGTGTGTGTGTGTGTGTGTGTGTGTGTGTGTGTGTGTGTGTGTGTGTGTGTGTGTGTGTGTGTGTGTGTGTGTGTGTGTGTGTGTGTGTGTGTGTGTGTGTGTGTGTGTGTGTGTGTGTGTGTGTGTGTGTGTGTGTGTGTGTGTGTGTGTAAATGATCACTCTAATGCACATGGTTGTTCCTTCGTTAAAATTGTGAGGTTCAGCTCAGAATTCTGTACATATTCTGAAGAAGCTGAACCTCAAAACTACAATATTTGTCACGAACTAAATTATCTTATAGATTAGATCGGTTTTTATGTCGGTTTAGGTTAGCGAGTTGGAGACCCTAATGCGAGATGCACAAAGACGACTGGACACTGCACGAGAAGCAGCGACCGTAAGGAGGCGCTGGAAAACGAGCAGATTGACATTGTGACAAGGGATTTGAATGATGCGAATAGGAGAGTTGCAAGTTTTTTGTTTTCATAGAATATCTACGCCTTTTTCTCCACTTTTTGTTTCTTTTATCACTGTTTTCATGTTGTTATTGTTTAAGAATAATTACTTTTGTGAAGGTAAACAGAAATATTCCTTGCAGGCTTCTGTGGAAGCAGAACTGACACGAGTCACAGCCGAACATGCAGAAGCCCGAGAATGTGCATGCCCATGGCTGTGCGGCTCCGCTCCAGCCGCTTGAGGCTGCTCGTCGAAATTCGTTGTTGCTCAAAAGAAAAACTTAGCGGTGAGTATTTTTGTAATAAGTTTTTGTTATAAATTTTGGATGTGAACAACTAATTTTATTTGCTAGGATTTCGATTATTTTTTCATAGAATTCCACCTGCTCCAAACCCCTCGTATGCATTCCGCCTACGATTACCTGCGAATTCCGAGACGACAAGGGCGCAGACGCTCCCACCACGCAGGTGGAAACTACCACTGTGCAAACGACGACCACATTTGAGGTGGAGTGATTGTATCACTGTTTTTTGCTGAGATGAAAGATTGTGTTTATTTACCCTCCCAAATGCGTATTCAACGAGAAACGGCAGACATTCGCTCTTGATTACTGTGCGCGGAAGTATGGGCTGTGCTCGAAGCATGATGTACTAGTACTTCCGATCGTGCGGGAATTTTTTAGGTACTATATTGCCAGATTCAAACGCACCACTATAAAAGCCGTGGAATCAGGCACGAAATCTTTTAGTGCTTCGGTGGATTCGGTATATTCTTACCTGAAGCATATGTGACAGCCATATGGCAGCAAGTGGCCCAAGCTAATACATGGTCCCTAGACCCCATTTACATATGACCGTAGGAAGAACCGATTGACTAGATGTTGTGAGAATAACAGGTGAGCTAACTACTTGTTGATCTATGTGAAATTCGTGCTATTTTTTACTCTTTTTTCAATCTTTGAAGGCCATCAAAGCATTTTTTGTATATGAGCGTTGAGTTTGCACGAATGGAAGTACGCGGAGCAGAAATTATTGGAGGAACCCCTACTCCGTGCTTCGCAGTGCCGCCAGTCTGATGAATGGCCCACATAATCTATAGTTTCTGTCTAGGAATCTCCGGAAGGCGTTCGCCTACCCTTGTGTCCCCTTGTGTCTATATGGTGATCACCGTCAGCTTGTCATTTCACTGGCATTCGCAGTGTCACCTTCGAAAGCGTTTAATAAGAGAAGAGTCGCTCTTGTTGCCGATGCAACTTTGAGTCAAATCATAATCATTGTTAACGTACCCTATTGTTATAACTTTGTAAAGTACTGCACAAATTTCGATCAAGTCTTCATAGAAAGAAACGCTTTGTTTGTACTTGGCTTTATTTATATGCCATTCGTAATTTATTCGTCATAATCAATTCTATCTGCTTTGAAATACGGATGCTTGTATCGCGGTGTTCAAGTTCGTGGAGCATATAATAAATTGAGCTTCTCTTGTGTCTATGTTTTCGGCTAGTCAAAATTTTTAGCTTGTTGGCTGATACTATGGACCACATATTTCGCACGCACGTTTGCTCACGAAGTCAAAGACAGACACTGCTAAACTCAGAAAATTGCATTGATTATGTCCAAACACATGCACAATTTTTTTGCGCATTCTCTTGCCTCTTCTGCATTTTTTGGAACGGGTCGAATGTGTGGTCGAGTGGTTGGCGCAGAGATGCACAAATGCGAGAGGTGAAAGTTCGAGGTCGCGTGCCGGAAAACTTTTGCGGTGGATCGGAAAACTACGGCATACGCTTACGACTGCTTCGCCATTGCAAGGCATGTTTGTGTGGTTGATCGGTTAGTGAGCTGGCCTTCGATGTCGTTGCATGGAAGTTCACAGCGCGCGCGGTGCGGATGTTTTGCGGCGCTCTGCATGCGGCCAGTCTGCGAGTTCACGCCGGAGTTGGCAACTTTCCGTGATGTGTGCCAACTTGCGACATCTTTGATGCCGCAAGTTGGCACACAGTAGGGTAGATTACTACAGGCCTAGGTATCGAACTGCGATGCACACCCGAAAGGTTTACTCCGGCAGGGTCTCCCAAGCTGTGAAGGAGTTTCGGCCGGATGCTTAGCTAAGAGTCGACCAGGCCGGACCGCCGCCTGGTTTTTTGGCCGCTAAGCGGTTCTCCCCGCTCCAAGCCCGGGGTCAGCAATCGCTCCGTGGAAATTAAGAGTAGGCCTAGTAAGTCTGCTCTTGTAGGGGAAAAATTTTATTACTCCGCCAGTTAGAAGAATAGAAAGAAGCTCTGCACATCGTATCCCGCCTACGATGCCGGGTGGTAGCAAGAACGATCTCAGGGCCCTCAGAGCGCCCTTTGGATTGACAAAATCGACACGTCTGACAGGACGACACGCCATGCCTTTTGGATTGGACAAAATCGACACGTCTGACAGGACGCCACGCCTCATGCTCTGCACCTACAACGCCAGGACAGTCTCCACAAACGCCGACCTCCACGCTCTTCTCGACGCTGCAGAGCACATCAAGTACCACATCATCGCTCTGCAGGAAACGAAGTCCAGGAAGAAGGACGTGCGACAGATGAGTGATGGGACCCTCATCATTCGTGGTGAAAAGGTTTCATCACGAAACGTGGGAGGCGTCGGCTTTGTCTGGCTCCACCCATCTATCGTCCATCTTCTCGACTCGCACGAGATCCTATCACCTCGACTAGGCATTCTAGGACTACGCCCTCCACGTCAGAAAACAATCAGCATTATCAACTGCTACTCTCCAACATCAGCAGCTGACAACTCAAACTAGACGTATTCTACGAAGAGAGGAGGTCGTTCGCAAGAAAAATTCTTCTACAGTGTAGTGGGTGACTTCAATGCGAAAATCGGGATGCCACTAGAAGAAGAATATAGGTCGAAAGTTTGGATCGGTTTCGGAACAAAGACGGCAATTATCTCGTTGGGCTTCTCTCCGCCGCACGACTTTTTCATCTTCATGAGGAAAGAACATCGCCGGTGGACATGTGAATCGTCCAACGGACGACTCATGCGGAAATTCCATCATTCTGCAGTGGCTCCGATCCGGGCCTACTTTCAGCGAAGATACGATTCAGCCGAAGGTTTGAAAAGAAAGTCTGTCACAGTGCCGCGAGAAGGAAGAAAGTCGTTTATGACTGTAACAGGCTGGAAGAGCTCATATCAAGTTGTGGCTGGGCCGATGAGGACCCAACTTACGACGATTGGCTGTTAAAATCGCCGGCCTGCGGAGAGTGCGCTTCAGTGACTTCTGAAGGACTTGGAACGTATTTTGAAGACCACCAAGGAATTGCTCGAAAGAAGAAGATCTCTGAGGCAGGATCCGAATGCAACCCATTTCGAGCGACTGATAGCCAACGCCAGTTGCAGAACAGCTTTGAAGGAGGATCTCAGGAAGTACAGGCAAGCCAAGGTCCTGAAAGCAGCCGAAGGAAGACGAAGTCTCTGGAAGTCCCGAAGGAACCTCGCGATTATCACGTACAGCTGGTTGCACTATTGAGCAAAGAAGGGACTGCGACTTCTTCCCGATACAAGATGGAATCTATCGCGAAGAACTTCTACACCAACCTCTTCCGCTCATCAACACCCGTGCCGATGCCCGTTGTTCCCACTGAATAAGTGGCACCACGAATTCTACCTGCTGAAATGCGCACGGCGATCCAGACCATGAAGACGCCACGGCTCCAGGACCAGACCACCTTTCCATCGAAATTCTGCGAGCCGGAGGACGACGTCTACACCAGATTCTCGCGTCACATCTGACATCTTACCTCAGAAGGAGAAGATTCCCGACCAGTGGAGAATGTCAAGAACCGCACTTCTCTTCAAGAAGGGTGAACGGAAGGATCTTAGGAACTATTGTAATATGCCTGCTGAGTGTGCTGTACAAGCTTTTCACAAAAATTATCCTCGCTCGCATATCTAGGATACTGGATAAAGCCCAATTCCAAAAACAAGCTGGATTTCGCAAAGGATTCAGCTGCATGGACCACATCTAGACCGCTGCGAGAGTCATAGATGTCTGCCGGAAGTACCGACTGCCTCTCGTCCTGACCTTTGTCGACTACAAGAAAGTCTTTGACAGTGTCGAAACCAACGCCATCCTGTCTGCGCTAGTCGATAAAGGATGGACTCAGCTTAGGGAGCCTCCAGACCTCGCCGGTTGCCGCTAATGCAGCCGGTAGCCGCTTTCGCGCTGGTGGCCGCTTTTGCAGCCGGAGCGCTGGGTCTTCCTCCGTGGGGTGCGTAGAGCGGACATATTCGCAGTAGTGAAATAAAGTTTTGTACTCTTTCGATATGAAGCTACTACATAATGCTATGTGAAGAATATTCTGCAGGCCAAAATCCCTTTTGTCCACTAAGGTTTTTAGCTATTTCACCGTACTGAAGTAAACAATAAAACGGATTTTATCACCTTTGCAAAACGGATTCTATCATCTAGTTTTCGTAAATTGGGTGTTTCTCCTATTCTGAGTGTACAAAGGGCAAGACCCAAGACGAAAAAGACGAAATGACTCTGATTTTGGAATCGTTCACTCAGGATGGTAGAGTAAAACCAAAGGCAAGTACATCAGAATCTCGATCCACAACGACATGGCTCCTACAGCATAATGAAACAGCTTTAGGCATAGATCATTTATGAAATCTGAACGACGTTGGTCGCGCCATCTTCACGATTATTTGAATGCCCTACCAAAGAAAGTACAAAAAACATCGTTCCGAAACGATATTGCTCACCCAGCATAGCAATCTAATATATAAAGAATCGTTAACTCAATTCAAAAATCCGCAAGTAGCGGGAAACCGCGGTGCGGTCCCGAAGAGCGCGCATGCTGCTACCACCTTCAATTACTGGTTCACTAGTATGATTAGAATGAAATCTAGACGGTAGCACAGTGAAGTTCAAAAAACCTCGTTTATAACTAAATCAACCAATTAACAAAAGGGGTAACCTAGAAGAAACTAGTAAAAACTCCGTTTAACATAATTTGCTCATTTTAGCATAAACGAATACCTCCGCAATGGGAGAAGGAAATCTCTTTCGGACAACTATCCAATCGCTCAGCATCGAAGAACAGCGAAAGTGCGGACGACGGATCAAAACCACATTAGCAACAGAACTGTTTACATACAAAGAAGAAATTTGAACGAAAAAGCGAGAAAAATCAAAATCCCTGCGAATACCACTATTGTGAATAAGCCCCCGGTATGTGCCCCACGGACAAGATCTGGTCCAGTGCACTGCGGCTGCAAAGGCGGCAACCGACGTAAAAGCGGCTATCGGCTGCAATGGCGGCAACCGGCGCGGTCTGGAGGCTTCCTTACGTGAAGACGTTAGCCGACTGCTACAAGGACTGTACAACGACGATGCAGCTGTTTATCGCCCCCTGACTATTCCAATTGGGAAGGGGTCCGACAAGGCGACACAATTTCGCCGAAGCTGTTCACGGCGGCCTTGCAGTGGGTGATGAAGTCACTGGATTGGGACGAGAGAGGCATACGAGTTGATGGGATATTCCTGTCGAAGTTTCGTTTTGCGGACGACATCGTTCTCTTTTCGAGCAGTATAACTGAAGCAGAGACGATGCTAAAGGAACTGAACGAAGTAGGGAAGAAGATCGGATTGCGAATCAATCGGAAGAAGACTTAGCTCATGAGGAACGCCCTTTGCGAAGATGCAGAAATGGAATTGGAAAGCATTCCTATTATGGAGACGTCTTCTTACGTGTATTTCGGACGTTCGATGAACATGGAGAACGACTTGAGGAAAGAACTTAACGGGAGAAGAAGAGCAGCCTGGGTCGCCTTCGGGCCTGTGAAGGAAGCCACCGACCAACTGACGGACCTGGAGCTTTGTGCCCAAGTGTTCGACTCAACCGTTCTACCGGCTGTTAGATGAAATTTGAGCCAACACTGTAACCACGTCGAAAGCTTTAAGGACCACCCACAGAGCGCTAGATCGTAGTCTTCTGAAGATGACCCGACACAAACAACATCTTGTCGGACTTCGCAGTACGGATATGAGAAGAATGTTCCGTCTTCGTGACCCAGCGGAATACGCTGTGAAAGCCAAACACCGATGGGCCGGTCACATAATGAGAAGAACAGACGACAGATGGACACTAAAAACATCTGAGTGGATTCCTCGCAAATCTCCAAACTTCCCGAGATAGACCACCAACGCGGTGGGCAGACGTGTTTGTGGAACGGATGGACCAGCTGGATTCGACTTTCTCCCCTGGAACTCGTGGACGCACCCACCGACAACGGCCAAGAAGATCGTGGATGTCTGAAGCGAAGGACAGGGATTAACGGCAATTTCTGTACTGGGGCCCGCACGTCACGTGAGGACGGGCCATCTAAGTATCTAAGCAAGTAAGATCTGTACAGAAGCAAGCATGGTGTTGATATGTTACTCTTATTCTGGTTACAGGCGAATGTTGATGCAAATATCGGGAATACATCGGTTTTTCTATGTAACAGTTACGGAGGCACAAAAGCATCTACTCCCACGGGTTTGCAAAAAAATATACGAATAGGTGTAAATTCATAAAGGATCCTCGGACTCATTAAGACATATCTTGTACGGAATTTGGAATGGATCAGTTTGTACGAGTTTCTTTTTTTATTGCACAGTCATAAAAGCAGTTCCGGCATTTCCCGTCAGGAAAGTATAGCTCTCCATTCTTCGCACGTCTTATGGACGAGAATGAGCATTCTTTTCCACATGCATAGATGCACTGCAAAAGCGGTTGGGTACTCAACAATGCAAGTTCACTAAATTCAGACTTACCCTTTTGGCGATGACCGAATCATATTTATATCCATAGTTTTCTGGAACAGCGCACACCAGCATGACCAAAACAAAAAATAGTTTGCGTGACATTGTCCTCTGGAATTCAGCATGCAATTCTTCAGCAAACTCCAAGAATGCACAGGTTCTCTCCATGCTTACTGACTTACGAGCGCATCGATGGAGGTAATAGTGTAAGCATTTTAGAAATGCTTATGGAATGAGGTATTGTTAGATGCGTTCGTTTGCATTTGGAGAACTATCAGTATCAGTTGGGTTAACCGCAAAGCATTGCTTGTGTATGCCCTCGCACCAAAAATCTTGTGTGGGTTTGATCTAAGGATTCAGGGTCAGGTACCTAAGGGGCCGCAAAGTAATTAACAGTATGCATATGTTGCTCCGCTCACATCATGGCTGTCGGTAAGTGCCGCTGACTCAGTTTTCTTCACGTCTATATTATAGCCTCAGCTCCTATACAAGACGCTGGCTTAGATCTTGCAGTGGAATAAGTATTTGATGCACGAATATTTGTAACCTTTCAAGCCTTAAGTAAGTTGACGACGCCGAAACGTCAGCCATAATGAATAAACAATCTAGGTGACAAGCTGAAGAAGAATATAGCTGTCACCATTGCTTGTTGAGCTTTTCACCTACTCCCATAATACTCCACTAGTCATTTGAAGCTCAGTCACAAAATTTACAAATGTATCTCTCTCAGAGGACTGAAACCAAAATCTTCAACCAGTATAACAGCACGATTGCAGTTAAATAACACTGCAATACATTTCCAAGAATTTAATCAGTGAGAGTAACGTGAAGAAAATTTTTGTTTTTGATCACAAAAAGAGTACTATGGGTAGACTACAGTGCCGTCACCTTTGAGGCAATCATCAGGCATTCTGCGAACCTCTTCGAAAGAAGAATTTCTTGCTTCAGTAACGTAATTGTCATCATAATAGAAAGGCGTAAAATGAAAAGAAATGTATAGCATTATCAATACATGAGCGTCAATGATCTAACTTCAGATCCCCCTTACCCGCTACTACTTAGCTCAACGCTAAGTTTAGAGAGAAGAACGGAAGTTTTGTAATCACAATGCGTTTATGATTTCCATGTGACTTACGAGAAGTACGATAACAGTTTAAGTTTGAGCCAAAAATTTTCTAAGTTGAACATTTCATAAAATTACTGCATATAATGAGTCGAAATCTTGATATTGCTCAACAATTTGCCAAAAAATTTTGCAGTTTCATGCATACAGAAGGAGATCTTGAAGAAAATGAAGAGAACAGCAAAATCAAAGCTGGTCTAAAACTTGCAGCCGTCTTCTTTTAAACGCCTTTGGGATTCTTATCACCTTCCTGTATTAAAGCAGATGCTCCCTTAAAGGCAGCGTCCCTGCAAAAAATGGGTGCCGGGTTTTTGTGGCGATGTTAAAGTAGACCCTAAGCGATGACTGAAGTTCGGAGCGAAAGAGGGGGTCTACCAAGCCTGAAAATTGCTCCGAAAGTGGCCCGAATCTTACGGTAGGCCCGGACGCCACCCACACAGCAAAATCGATTCGCAAGGCCAAAGTGCATATAGCGCACACAGTCATGAGCGCAGGGTCTCGCAACGACTCTGCGTATACCTCGCATTCGCCCGAGCCTACCGTAAGATTCGGGCCATTTGAGGGGCTATTTGTAGACTTCGTAGACCACCTTTCGCGCTGCAAACTTTTGCCGTCGCTTAGTTATTAGGTCTACTATTACATGATCACCAGAGCCAGGTACCCCAGTCTGGTGGGACGCTGGCTTCAAGCCTCCAGATATGCAGTGCAACCAGCATTCATCAAATTTCAAAAAAGGAGACTTTACAGCAAATTTGCTTGGACGCCAAATGACCACAAAAATTGAGCCAGTCATTAGATTGTCGCGAAGTAATGGGCTGATCGTACTTCTTTGGAAAGGCACCATTTAGTGTCTATTGGTAGTTAGCGAATGTGATAGAAAAAGCATCACTATGCATGCTTCAGAATCTGCCATTACCTTCACTCTTCGAAGCACCTTCCAGCTTAAAAATTGGGCTCAGCGGTCTAAACACTTCTCTGACTTGACTAATCCTGCGTTCAGAGAAATGAGCGCTGATCCGACGCTTGCAGAGCTTCATCGGAAACATGGAGACGCTACTGCTACGAAGTTTATGCGACCACATTCAGGAAATGTTCGATTTGTGAAGGATATCATTTGCGAAAAATGCACAATCTTTCGTAGCAATAGCGCTTCCATGTTTCCAATAAACGTTTGCAAGCCTTGGACTCGTGCTCGTCTGTGCAAAAGAGCAGGTCCCTCGTGTTTGAGACTCATTAGACCACCGAGCCTAATATTTGAGGTGCTTCGAATCTGAGTTAGTCTGACGGAAGATTCTGATGAATGTCAAGCAGTGCTCATCCGTCATATTCGCAAACCACCATCAAACTCCAAATGGTATAACGTTTGCAAAGGAGCAAGGATCAGCCGATTTCTTCGCGACAGCCTAATAATCTATTAAACTTTTGCGGTCATTTGGCGTCTAGGCAAATTTGCTCTGCAGAGTCTCCTTTTTTGAAGTTAAATAAATGCTGGTTGCACTGCTTATCTCAAGGCTTAGTAGTGCATCTCTAACCCAACTATTGGAAGGCGACAAGTTTTCCAAAGCTGTTGAGCAGAAGGCGGCTGCAGGTTTTTGACCAACTTTGATGTTGCCGTTTTCGCCATTTTTCCCAGTGGCCCGTTCGTTCAGTGTATGAGGCTGCAAGAATTTCTGGGGAATTGCTAAGCAATGCGATTTGCATGCAATGCGAAATTTGAACTCGTTGTATGCAGTAGTAAGATATAGCACAAATCGAGGGTGGCTGCAAAATCTTGTTCAGCACTGTATAAAAAAATTTCGATTTCTGGCCATAGTTGGGCACGATTTGATTGCCTAAGAAAGCGTTTAAGGAGTTTAAGATTGAGGGTGAAATGGAAAAAGCACTCTACTATTGAACAGTTTTTGAATCTGGACTGGGAAAGGGTTGACAGCAAAAAAGTCGGGGAAACGTATATACTGATCAAGAACGCGCTTCAACGACTATTTATGCGAGTTCGATGAAACGCCTTACTTTTTGATTCTTGGTATAGGAGATTGTAATTGTATCAATGCATAAATGAAATAGATGTCTTGAAGCGCTGTTAAAAATCGAAAAAGAGATAAAAGCTTCTAAACATCAATTCGAAACGCTATAATACCCAGCAATAAAGTTGACAAAAGCATCGATAATGTCATGCTACATTCGGAAATGGCGTAGAGATGAAATTCTAACACAGAAGCATTCGCATAAAGCAGAAACCTTGATACTTTCATCTGCGCACTTTTACAAGTCTAGATTAATTATCTTCACAGAATCAAGCTTCTCTTTAAGTAAACTCAGTTAGAGGAAGCGATAATGCACGTTAATGCGAAAAATTACGCACATTCTTTACATTTCATTATGTCAGAACTTTTCTTGAGGCTGCAGGGAGATGGAGCTGCAAAGACACGAGATTTGACTTTTGTTTGAACATGTGGTCTTTGCCCTATGCATATGTCGTTTTTTGTCAACCTGCATGTGCATCTGCATTGTGTATTGTGCTTTTTCCTTTCTTTTTGAGCATAAGGGTAATTGAACAAAATTTTCGAAAATTATATCAATTAGCAAATACAAAGGAGTTACTTTTATAATACGTACTACCTCCGCCCCTCCATCTCGTCCGCCACTGGTAAGAACATCTACCACGATTATTTTTCATCGTTATTTCAAAAGGGAACTCGTTGTTTTAAAAGGGAAGGAATGCTGCTAAGTGGTCAAACAAGATGTGAAGTTTATTCTCTGAAGAGTATGTTACGCTGGCCAAATCTAGTATGTTACGCTAATCCCAAATCTGTCTTCCTTATCTGTGGAGCATTTATGAACGACTGGTTATGCGTGTTCAGTGCAAAAAAATGCATGCCCAAGTTTAGTAAATTAATTACCAAAATTTCCTAAGCTCTTGAACGAGGCCGTGGAAATGGTTATGATTCTCATCAAATTAGTGGTCGAGTATAGTGCTCTGAAATCGTTACTGTTGCTTTCGAGCCTTAGAAAAGTTGTTACGAATACTTTTATCCTACAACCCATCTAATCACGACTCCCCGTGCAGAAATACCCCAAAGATATAGAAGCAGAAAATCAACGCTTTAAGTCCTTCAGGATGTTTTACAACATAACCTCACTCAGATTCTCGACTTCCATGTTTTGATCGTTTCGGGGCCTTCTCATGTCCCTGATTCCGAATACGAGGTCGAAAAACCGCGAAAACCCGACAATCCTCATTCCGAAGTACATGCAGGCCGGATCTCTGAAAACGGTGATTGGCTGGGCGCGCACGGATAGGCGGGCTTGGATGGGGAGGGCAGTGCTGTTTGGGGATCTTCGTGCATCTTCGTTGTTCCGAATTTTCTTGCTTCCGAAGCCAGGTTTTGCGCCACGACTTCGGCATTGGCTTGATAAGGGACCCTACTATCATATGCTACCAAAAACTCAAGACTCCTAACTTAGGTGGACGGTGCTTTTGTACTCCGCAACTTCTTCAATGACGTCCCATTATCGCTTACTCGCCTTCGTAGGAGTTGTCTTTTCAATGTAAAAAGCATCCAGTCCCCTCATCTGAGCTGCTAACGAGCTTCTGCTGCTGCAGTTTATCATGTTGCCTGGTCTTCTCTTCAAAAGTGGTGACATCTAGATCGGTCAGGGGATTGAAAATTTTGTGGTTCAAGTGATTTACGAACAATGATGCCCAATCTCTAAATTTTTCGGATAGACTAGTCTTATCGTGAATAATGAGGCTTCCAATCGCATATAGCGGTGGTGCAAGTAGGATTGCCGTGTGGCCAATTTTTGCATAATAAAGTTAGAACGCCGTTGTAGTCAATTCGATTGAATAAAGCTGCCACCTAATAGACCTTTTACTGTCAATTAATTTGTAGACTCTTTTACGCTCTTCCGTTAACATCCCTCCTTACACACATACCTAAAGTTCCTCTTGTTCCTTCCTTCCACCTCTAGCACATTGATTCAGCATCTTGTAGAGATATTAAAGGATGTGCCTTTACTAGACGTTTTTTTCCCATTTAACGAA